TCCGCACACTTAACCACGACACCAAACTGGCCGTCTTGCCAGGAATATTCTAGCTCTGAATTTCCTGCATTCAGCAAGTGACTGGGCTAGATGATCCCAAGGCCCCTTTCCAAATCCATGAAACGTAGCTAAGGTGTACTTAGTACTGTGTCTTAAGTTTATGTGATGCCTAGTGAACTTGTTTACGGTAGAGTTTCACAGGGTAGCCAATGTTGTCTTTAGTAGAAGAGCTGGATTCGAATACAGCAAGACCCTGAGACATCAACAAGATTTCGAGAGTCATTAGAAGGGAGCTTTGAATCAAAGCTTATACTCCAAAAATCTTGGTTTCTAAGGCGTTACTGGACTCCTTTAGCGCTTGATTATAGTAGTGTATGGTGATGTCTATGAATAAGACGATCATGAACTAGAATAAAAAGAGATTGGATTTATACCCCACCCTTTGCTACCCAAAGGAGTCTCAGAGCGGTTTACAATCTCCTCCTCCCTCTCCCCACGACAAGACACCCTGTGAGGTAGGTGGGGCTGAGAGCTCTCTTTTGAGCCCTTCTTTTCTTTGGGGGAAAAATGACCTCCCCACCCTATGCTTTCTTTGCTGATTTTTTTGTGTTTTTACATTTGTATGGTGGGTTTGGTTTTAAGGGGAAGAAAAGCAAGATATGCACTTTGTAAAACGAACACATAAAATAAACACTAAGCCACAGCTGCTTCTAAAGTTTCCCTGCACAACACTGGAGAAGGAACACAGCTAAAGCACCTACACATGCATGAAATTAATCTTGTGGTCGTTTGGATCATGGCCACGTGTGAATCCAGTGACTGGCAGACATGCTTTTGGTTGCTCATTTACAGCAGCTACGAAAAATGCAGAGCACAATGAACACGACTGGGAAGTGTGTTTACTGGACTTCTCAGATTTTATTTTTAGGTCATATAAGCCTGTTGTTCGAGAGACTTCGCATTTGCATTTATTAGAAAATAAGGACATTATTTACATGATGGGGGGAAATCCTTTGAGCACACTGACGGAATGACAACTTCATGATATTGCAGCAAACAGGACGGTTCAGTCGACATACTTCCCGAGAATGTCGCCGTCCCGGAAGATGAAATAGTCCTGCAAGAGGAAACGCAAAACTGTCATACACTAAAGACAAACAGCAATTAGTGCATGCCGTCAAGATACCTCGACATTCTTTGATCACAGAAAATGATTTATTGCTTCTGCCAAAGGGTCAGTGTTTCACAAATATTAACCCAAGGCCTTCCTTCTACTTTAAATTGCTGGGGGGGGGGGGGAATTAGTGGATAATAATCTCCCTTGGAGCCAAGCAGTAATAGTAATTGTGCTTACTTGGGAGATGGTTTCTCCTTTAAAACACACTCTATGTACATGAACGTAGTAGTTCTCCACTGCCACGAGGAATTAAAAATTCCAAATCTCTCTATTTTTGTAGAATGAGGCAGTTCAGAGGACTATGTGGCCCTGAGGAAGGACTGTTCTGAGTGCTGGGATAAGTGTAAACAAATAAGGATTTATTTATACAAGAACAAAAATAGGTTTCTGGGTATTTTTTAACTGATGTTGAAGAAAACAACATAAATATAACTGACAAAGCTTGGCATCACACACAGGCTCTCAAACACCAAAACTTAACTCTGACAGTCTCATCTCTCTCTCTCATAGCCACACAGGCTAAACTCCAACTGCTTCTTCTGTCATACAGACTCTCACAAAAACTCTCTTAGCCACATAGGCTAAACTGTTTGTCTTAGCCACACAGGCTAAACTCCAAAAACTCTCCACACACTCTACAAACACAGCATCACCTCACAGACACCCCTCCTCCCACACTTTCATTCATCAGCCAATCACATCACACTTGTCTCCCTCTTCGCTCTCCTTACATTACTGCAGTCACACTAAACATTTAAAGAAACACACACACCGAAACATGAAATCATTACAGTAATCTTTAAGCCATACAAACACAAAAGCTTTGCACGTTCTGTGGAACAACAGTGTGGGAACCCTTCCTGACCTCCTCAGGTGGGCTGTTCCACAAGGCGGGGGTCAATACAGGCCAGGCGCATGAACAGGCACTTGCTGATCTCACCCATTCCTTCAGTGGCATCTTCAGAAGGCTTTGGTCAAATGAGCAAACCTGTTGCAGCACAGCATAGTGGTAGAGATGATTCTGCATGTATATGGGCTCACGGCCTTTCAGGGCTTTGCAGGGGATAATCGGGCTGTAGCATTCTGCATCAACCGGAGTTTAGCCATACACCAGGACACGGCAGATGCAGAGATTTTAAATGTATTTTTAAATGCTACTTTCATCATTGTAATACTTCATTGTAAGTTATTTCAGTACTGGCCACGTTAAACAGCACAGCAGAGGAGGAAGGCACAAGAATGCTATTGCCTGTTCCTTTTGTTTCTACACACACCAAAAAAACCCCATAGAAGAGCCCTGCTGGATGAGACCAGGGAGGGTCTATCTAGTCCAGCATCCCGTCTCACACAATGGCCAACCAGTTCCTCTGGAGGGCCAACAACAGGGCAGAGAGGCTGAGGTCTTCCCCTGAGAAGAACCTCAGAAGAGCCCTGCTGGATGAGACCAGTGAGGGTCCATCAAGTCCAGCATCCCGTCTCACAGAGTGGCCAACCAGTTCCTCTGGAGGGCTAACAACAGGGCAGAGAGGCTGAGGTCTTCCCCTGAGAAGAACCTCAGAAGAGCCCTGCTGGATGAGACCAGTGAGGGTCCATCAAGTCCAGCATCCCGTCTCACAGAGTGGCCAACCAGTTCCTCTGGAGGGCTAACAACAGGGCAGAGAGGCTGAGGTCTTCCCCTGAGAAGAACCTCAGAAGAGCCCTGCTGGATGAGACCAGTGAGGGTCCATCAAGTCCAGCATCCCGTCTCACAGAGTGGCCAACCAGTTCCTCTGGAGGGCTAACAACAGGGCAGAGAGGCTGAGGTCTTCCCCCGAGAAGAACCTCAGAAGAACCCTGCTGGATGAGACCAGTGAGGGTCCATCAAGTCCAGCATCCCGTCTCACAGAGTGGCCAACCAGTTCCTCTGGAGGGCTAACAACAGGGCAGAGAGGTCGAGGCCTTCCCCCTGAGAAGAACATCAGAATAGCCCTGCTGGATCAGACCAGTGAAGGTCCATCCAGTCCAGCCTCCTGTCTCACAGAGTGGCCAACCAGTTCCTCTGCAGGGCCAACGACAGGGCAGAGAGGCTGAGGCCTTCCCCTGAGAAGAACCTCAGAAGAGCCCTGCTGGATCAGACCAGTGAGGGTCCATCTAGTCCAGCCTCCTGTCTCACACAGTGGCCAGCCAGTTCCTCTGGAGGGCCAACAACTACAGACAGAGACAAAGGCCTTCCTAAGAACCTCAGAAGAGCCCTGCTGGATCAGACCAGTGAGGGTCCATCTAGTCCAGCCTCCTGTCTCACACAGTGGCCAGCCAGTTCCTCTGGAGGGCCAACAACTGGAGCCAGAGGCCGAGGCCTTCCCCTGCTATTGCCTCCTGGCACTGGGATTCAGAAGTTTAGTGCCTCTGAATATGGAGATTACATGAGCTAGGCAGGAACAGGAGCCGCATGTGTCTGAAGCTGCGCAGGTGAGGGAGCTGGCACTGCTTGGAAGCACAGGAGCTAAGCAAGAATAGCAGAGAGATTTGGGGGGAACGGAAGCAAAGACCTTCAAAGGTTTAGGAAGAAGTTATGCGGGTATTCCAAAAAAAGAGTTCAGGGGAATGCTGTTTTCAAATAAAGTTAAACCTGTACAAAGCGGCAGAACCAGATCAGACAATATAGTTTTTATCTCTATGGACCAACCTTGTCCCCCAATACCACCTTCGTGCCACCGTATTCTGGTAGTAACACCTTCTCGCCAACTTTTACGCTAACAGGCTGATGGTTCCCATCCTGCAAGGGAAGGACAAAAGGTTAATAAAATCTTGGTTCCAATGCTGTGAGAAGCATCCGGCAGCCAGAACACAGTTGTCAGTCAAAATAGGATAACCAGGTTAAGGGCTAGCTGACTTAGAAGAGTTCCATGTAACATCTGGGGTGGAAATAAAATGGCTGCATACAGACAACCGACAAAACCATGAGCTGTGTGGTCTAAGAAGAAGCAAAAAGAGGAGGAGGAGATTGGATTTATACCACGCCCTTCACTACCTGAAGGAGTCTCAGAGCGGCTTACAATCTCCTTTCCCTCCCCCTCCCCACAACGGACACCCTGTGAGGCTGAGAGAGCTCTGACAGAAACTGCTCTTTTTTTTCAAGAACAGCCCTGTCAGAACTATGGCTTGCCTGAGGTCATCCAGCAGGTGCAAGCGGAGGAGTGGGGGAATCAAACCCGGTTCTCCCAGATTAGAGTCCGCGCACTTCACCACCACACCGAACTGATATGAGAACTTATATCAGAATGAATTCTTTTGCAAGACTTCAAGGTGCTGGAAGCCTCTCGTTGATTTTTGTTGCCACGGCAGACTCCCCCTCTGGGACTGATATGCGAGTGTCTGTTCCTCAGTTCACGGACTGTGGGCTTGCCGGGTGGGTGGGGTGGGAATAAAGCCAAGCCAGAGGACTGGTTAGGGGCTCAGGAACGCACAGCAGGGCCCAGATAACCGTCACTTGGAGTTTTATTTAGAAGGCTGCTGTAGTCGTGGTCAGTGTTCCCCCTAAGCTGAGTTAGTGTGAGCTAGCTCATCGTTTTTTAGCCTTCGGCTCACACATTTTTGCCTTTGCTTAGGAAGGATGGCTCCAGAACAAACTAATCTATGCAGTAGCCAAATAGCTCGCTCACAAATTTAATGCCAGCAGCTCAAAAAATAGAATTTTTGCTCACAAGACTCCACAGCTTAGAGGGAACATTGGCTGTGGTCACTGTATCACTTGCTAGGATACGTGATGAAAGATTATTCCTGATCATTCATAGCATACAAAACATTGAAGAAAAACATGTTTAGAAACCCATCGGACGCATACCTTTCCTTTAGAGCCTGACCCGGTGGCCACCACTGTGGCCTGCAGCACTTTCCCTTGCGATTTCTCCGGGAGCATGATGCCGCCTTTGGTGACGGTCTCGGCCGCACATCTTTCGACCAGGACCCGGTCAAAGAGTGGAAGGAATTTCTTAAACGCCTGCCCTGCCTGTTAAAACAAATTGTAAGTCATCATGCACCATAGAGAAACCAGGTTTTTTTTGGTCTCCTGGTCAGTTTATGACATGCTCTGAATCACAGATTAAAGTACTGATCCTATCATGGAAGCACAAATATAAGTCTGAAAGGGACAATCTCAAACAGAAGAGATTGGATTTAAACCCCGCCCTTGACTACCCAAAGGAGTCTCAGAGCGGCTTACAAACAACTTTCCCTTCCCCTCCCCACAACAGACACCCTGTGAGGTAGGTGGGGCTGAGAGAGCTCTTTGGAGAACGGCCAGCTCCGAGAGAACTTGTGACTGACCCAAGGTCACATCAGCAGCTGCAAGTAGAGGAGTAGGGAATCAAACCCAGTTCTCCCAGATTAGAGTCCACGCACTTAACCACTACACCAAAGTGGTCTGTACTACTGCATATGGTTTACAGTAAGTAGGACCGTATTAAGTAATCTCTCTACTGCTTAATGTGTCATGTGATTCGTTATGCCATGCTTTATTCTTTCTTATAGGTCCAGACTTTTGTTGACTGTACTATGTGTAACCCACCTTGAGCCCCTGTAAGAAGGATAGACTATCAATAACGTAACTAAATAAGAAAATATCTGAAGGGCTGAGGAGGGCAAGGAGCTGTTTCTGTTGGCGGCAGAGAATCACAGGACTTGCAATCATGTGCTTAAATCAAGGGCGAGAAGGTCCCAGCTGGATATTAGGAAAAACTTTTTGACAGTCAGAGTTGTGCAACAGTGGAACCAGCTGCCTAGGGAGGTGGTGAGCCCCCCCTCCCCAGCAGTCTTCAAGCAGCAGCCGGACAAACACTTCTCAGGGATGCTCTAGGTTGATCTTGTATTGAGCAGGGGGCTGGACTAGATGGCCGCTATGGCCCCTTCCAACTCTGTGATTCCGTAATTCTAAAAATTTACGAATACCTCATTTCTGAACAAGGGGCCACATGTGTCAGTGTATCAGAGCTGGACATCATTTATTATCCTACTGTGCAAGGACCTCATGGGAGGCATCCACGGTTCTCTCCCCTCCTCCATTTCATCCTCACAACAACCCTGCGAGGTAAGCTCAGTGGAGAGAAGACAACTGGCCAAAGGTCGCAAAGTAAATCTCACGGCAAGCTTGGTTTCAAACTAGGTACTTCCAGTCACACCACACAGGCTGTTGGAGTGGCGAGGGACCTTAACCGCCTGCTTCGTACCAAGAATCATTTTAAAAACTGCCCGGGCCCTTAGTTATCCAAACCCAGGCTGTCAAGGACAGGATGATTCTGAGGTATTTGGCATGACATCTTGGTAGGATTCCACAGGCTTCACTCCGCAGACCTCGCTCAAAGCAGGGATTGTACTCTGGAATTTTCCTGCAAAACTACCATTTCCCCTGCCAGATGAAATACCTACTTTACTTTATTTAACAGGGGCCATATTGTGTTAAGTAATGATTTATGCACAGGCATGTTATGGGAATACTTTAGATGTGAGACAGGGAGTTATTCCAGTTATACGTTTTAAACGAAAGAGCAAACGTAACAGAAACGACTCTGGAGACCGGTCAAAACTTTGTTGGTTTAGCAGTTGATGAAAACAGTTTGGGAATATGAGTAAAACATGTACATTAAAACAAAAGCTCAGGCTTAAACATAAGGCGCTTTCAGGAATGATTAACTTTTAAGGAATTTAAGCTAGCGTTCAACTATTTAGAATGATGGACTTTGGACATTATTAGCAAGCTTTAGCACAGTACACGACTCACTAACTTTAGTGCTAAAAACAGAACAATCTACAACCGTGTCAACTAGGAATGGATTAATAAGGCTTTTGTCTGTAATCCCTTTTGTTGCACATCTGTTGGGCCGCGGCAACTCATCTGCAAGGTGAGTCACGAAGCCGATCTCCGTTTTCAAACAGGCTGCAGAAAAGACCAAGCAGGGACAAAAAGCCTGCGGGTTTAGTTAAAACATTACTCAACTGTGCCGTAAGGAGGCAGGCTAGCTGCGCAATGCTGGCTCCCAGCCTTTTCTAGCTGCTTCCACAGGACGGCCACATGGCAAGACGGAGCCCTACAGAAACAGCTAGAAACGAGAAGGGTGGGGGGACGCTTCGAGCCATTACAGGTCGCTGCTGCAGAAGGCAGGGGGAAAATCAAAAGTATTTCCCTGCAAACAGACCAGATGGCGAAGAACACCAAGAACACCGACGGGCAGGACACAACCGCTACCTTGTTGATAACTCCCCGATAAAGTGCAATCTCCCCACACCAGGATTTCTTTGGTTTTTACGTGGGCAGTCAAAGGCAGCATCTCACTTAAAAAAAAAACCACACAACTCTATAAAGTGGATGGAACATTGGAATCTCTGTACTCCCAGCCTCATTACTAAGCCAAACTACCATGTAATGGCCACAGGGGCTTGCAGAGCACCCGCTGAGAGTTCCGGGGAGGTGCGACTTAGTTCAGAAAGGCCACATGCCCCAGTGCAGATTGGGGCTCCAGCAGAGGTTGGAGCTGCACCCCGGGGGAGCCCACAGCTGTCATAGGGCCAATGTTCCCTCTAAGCTGTGGAGTCTTGTGAGCAAAAATTCTACTTTATGAACTACTGGCATTAAAGTTGTGAGCGAGCGATTTGGCTACTGCATCAATTAGTTTGCTCTGGAGCCCTCCTTCCTGAGCAAAGACAAAAATGTGTGAGCCGGAGGCTAAAAAAAGTGAGCTAGCTCACAGTAACTCAGCTTAGAGGGAACACTGCATAGGGCTGCAAATTCCCATGACAATCACCTGGCAGATGCTATGCGTAGTCTGGACCAGAGTTTCATCCCAAAGTAGGAAGAGGAAGGGCAAAAGGCTGAGCTTTTCAAAGTTCTAATAAAGCTCTTGTTCTAATAAAGTCCAACGATAATGAAGTACCTGGAAAGGTTTTAAAGTTTAGTGTCTGCTATTTGCAGCAAAAACAGTTATTGAATCAAAATGGAAAGCTGATTGTAAACTAAACTTAAGCTTATGGCACAACAAGTTGTGGAACATATATGTAAATGGAAAAAGCAACAGATGTACTGAATTCAAAAACGGTTGACGATGGGTACACTTGTATATGGTTACCAATAGTAACATATTTGGTCTCTCAAGAAGTTATACCAGATGTAATTGATATAGTTCATTTATGGTAAATATTGACTAATATTATACTCATTTTGTGAATACTGTTCAGCATTACCTTTGTTATCAAAGAATGTACTTATCCTTTCCAAAGGTTTGTTATAGTTATTATTGAAAAATGAAACTGAATTAAAAAATTACAAAAAAAGTTTAGTGTTCTCTTCCCTACAATCACAGCTGCCGTACAGGTTAATAAAGGTCTTGTCTATTTTCTTCCCACCTTTCTGGAAAATGGGAATTAGTTCTGTTAAGATGAAGGGAATTCTCAGGCCGCCTCATTTTATTACATACTCCAGACCAGCCAAAACGGCTGAGATTATTCAAAGGCACCCTTACTGCTGTTACAGGAACAGCCCAAAACATAGCAAGGTTAAGACACCAGAGTTCTTCAGTTCCCAACACTTTAGGCTTGTAATAATACTATTTAATAATATGCTATTATTAAGGACAGCTTCTTTAGCTGCATAAAGACTATGTTTTTACTTGAATGGAATTTTGTTCTTGCAGCTTTACAACAGGAAGTTAGACCATGTACCTTCAAAATCTTACACAATTATAGAAAGAGAATACAGATTTTGAAATCTCAGTCCTTTCCCTGCTAAAAAAGATGAAATGTCATAAAGGAAAGGTAAGCACAGCAACCCTTGAATAGGTTCAAGGAAATGGCTTAGGAGCATGAAAGGAGCACAGGAAATAGTGCACGTGCAGAATACTACCACCTAGAGCAAATTTATTACCCGGAGCCAAGATTTCCCAGCAAGGTTGCATCCCTTCACTTTTTAAATTAGACCAAGCTGCATATTTGCTGTTTCTTACACATGGATTGGAACTATCTCAATCAACGTTGTTCTTTCCCCCATTGTGCAGCCACGAGGACAACAGCCCTCCCCATTAGCTGGCCCCTTTAACACCTGATAATAAGAGATAGACAGCCACTGGATATGGAGGTTTCATTTCACTAACACAGCTAATAGACTACTCCTCCCTGAAAGTACTTAATCCTTCCTCAATCCATTTCTGTGAGTAGTCATTACCGTTAGCCAAAATATGCATAATCTAGGATACAAAAGACTCATATCTCCATTCCTACTTGTGTCTGAGAAGGGAGCTTCGACCCTTGAAAGGTTATACCCTGGAAATTCTTCTCGGTCGAAGGTGCCACAGGATTTGAATCTAACTAGTCTTAAAAAGCTCTCTCTTTATCCTGAATCTGCTGCCTAACCAATCTAAAGGGGGGCAATTCAAGACCCCTGGCATTATGAGCAGAGGGGGGGGGAAATGCTCTTTAAACTGTTATCTTCGCAATATGACCAATCCTCCCTCTAAGATGTGAAGTCCTGTGCGCAAAAATTCTGCTTTGTGAGCTACCAGCATTAAAGTTGTGAGCCGGCGATTTGGCTGCTGCAAAAATCAGTTTGCTCTGGAGCCCTCCTCCCTGAGCGAAGAGAAGAACGTGTGAGCTGGAGACTAAAAAAACTCTGAGCTGGCTTCACACTAATTCTGCTTAGAGGGAACACTGAATATGACCATTTTATAATCCTCACCATCAATGTTCCCTCTAAGCTGTGGAGCCTTGTGAGCAAAAATTCTACTTTGTGAGCTACCGGCTTTATAGTTGTGAGCGAGCGATTGGGCTACTGCAGAAATTATGTTTGCTCCGGAGCCCTCCTTCCTGAACTAAGACAGAAACGTGTGAGCCGGAGGCTAAAAGACTGTGAGCTAGCTCACACTAACTCAGCTTAGAGGGAACACTGCTCACCAGGCTCCTGTCCAGGCATTTTTCGCACCCCCCAAACTAAAACGACAAAGGACACGAATGCTCTTGTCATCCACTAACTCAATTTGGGTTTTTAAGACTGAGCCATCTGTTGCACCCAACAGAATCCCCGCCGGGCCCCTCCTCTCGCCCTACCCGGGGGGGGGGGAGAGAGACCCACACATGCAAAAGAAACGTTGCAAAACAAATAATGCAAAAGGCCATTTTTTCCAGCGTGGAAGGAGGGAATGAAAAAGCAGCCGCCTCCCACCCGGGCTTACCATGGCGCCTGCTGCGGGTGCTCTGCCGCTCTCGCCCTCGCGCGCTCCCGTCACTCGAGCCAGTGACCCGCCGCCCTAGCACATGTGGGGAAAGGGTCGCGCAACCACTGCGCGTGCGCGCCACACGCCCTGGTCGCCGGGGAGTACTTCCGGCGGTCACGGGGCGAAAGTCGCGGAGGGCACCGAAGTATAATAGGCCTCCGCCAACGGTCCCCTCGCTCTCTCTTATGATTTCTTCTCATTCAATTCATAATCTTCTAACCCACTTTGCGGGCCTCCGTGTTCGCTTTCCTTTTTCGTTCCACAGGCCTTGGAGAGGGGTGGGCGCGTGAGGTGGGGGGACGGGCCGCCGGAAGTGACGCGCCGCCCCCTGCGCCCCTTCTCGGCGCGCATGGGCCCTTCCAGAAAATTCTGGAACGGAGGGGACCCGGAAACCTGCATACTGCATACCCGACGGGGGGTGGAAAATCAATCCCGGCGAGTGGGCGGCGCCCGGCGAGCAGCCCCGCCCCCTTTCCCCCCTTCAGGCCCGTTAGAGGGGCGCTTGGGCGGTGGGCGTGGCTAGCGGAGTTATGCGGCCGCGCTGGTTCCGGGGCGGGACGCTGAGGCGGCGTGTGAGCGCGCGCGAGAGAGAGCGAGAGAGAGACCGAGACGTCCGCGCTCCTCCTCCTCTTGCCGCCAGTCCGCGCACGCGAGAGCCGCACCGGCTGAGGTAAGAAGAAGAACGAGGAGGGTCTCTTCGGCGATCCCCCCCTCTCCCCGTGAGAACGGCGGATGGTCCCGACCGAGGGCAGGAAAGGGGGGCGGGGGCGGGAGTCGCCTCAGGCCGGCAGCGCTTCCCTCACGTGGGCTCTGGCGGCGCGGGAAGGAAATCAAAAGCACACATTGTTGTTGTTTATTTATTTATTATTATTATCGTTTATTAGTATTATTAGAGTTGGTCGTGGTTCGTTCGGACGTGCGTGGCCGGAGCCTCCTGGGCCGGGCTCGCGTGCGACGTGAAGAGGCCCGGGGGCGCCTGCGAGATAAAACCTCAAAAGAGAGAGAGAGAGAGGCGTGCAGGCGCCCCCCCACACACGTACACGTGTATCGTAACGCGCGCTTCTCGGACGCGTGTACGGGCTCGGTCTGGAAGGGCTTGGGTTCGCCCCCTGGAGGGTTTCGCCCCCGGCGCCCCCGCCCACGTAGAGGCAGGGCCCACCCGGGCTTCGCCTCTTGAGCCCTCCTGGAGTCCTGTGGGCGATGCTCCCTCTAAGCTGTGGAGTCTTGTGAGCAAAAATTCTACTTTGTGAGCTCCTGGCATTGAAGTTGTGAGCGAGCGATTTGGCTGCTGCATAAATCAGTTTGCTCTGGAGCCCCGTCCTTCCTGAGCTGAGACAAAAATGGGTGAGCCGGAGGCTAAAGAACTGTGAGCTGGCTCACACTAGCTCAGCTTAGAGGGAACACTGCCTGTGAGCCCTGGGGTCCTGCTCTGTGGGGCTACCGCTGGCATGAAAGAGGCGAGCGAGCGGCTTGGCTGCTGCAGACATTCGTTTGCTCGGGAGCCCTCCCTCCCTTCCTTTTTTAAAAAAAAGATTTATTTATGATTTTTACATGACAAAGAGAAAAAACAAAGTTGCGGTATACAAATCAAATGTTGGAGCTTACATTCAACATTAGTTCTAAACCGTTTGTTAACGCTGTACCATCTTTTTGGGAGCCCTCCCTTCCTGGGCGAAGACAAAAACGTGTGAGCCGGAGGCTAAAAGGCTGTGAGCTGGCTCACACTAAACTCGGCTTAGAGGGAACACTACTGGCATGAACGTTGTGAGCGAGCGATTTGGCTGCTGCATCAATTACTTTGCTCTGGAGCCCTCCTCCCTGAGCTAGGACAAGAACGTGTGAGCCGGAGGCTAAAAAAACTGTGACCTAGCTCACACTAAACTCAGCTTAGAGGGAACGCTGGTGGCAATAGAGATATATCTCTCTATTTTATCTAGCAATCTATTATCAAGATTGATAAATAGATCTATTGGGATAGATAGGTGATAGAAAGGGGCATGTGCACATCTATATTCACACACATGCAGCACCGGAGAACTGCAAGGAAACTGGCTCCACATGTTATTTGTGTGTGCCTGTGAAGGCTCTCTCCATGCACGTGTGGGCGCCTGAGATAGGGACCTTTCCTGCCCCCCCCCTCCAAAGGAGAGGGCTGAGGGCAGGGGA